GTGCGGAGCATTCTTACTCACATTGAACCGCCATGTTATATTGAAGAAATTCGAACCCCCACTAGAGCTTACATTCAATTGTTTTGCTGTTTGGTAGACAGGATCAGGGGCAGAGTACTCAGTAGCTCCTCCAGTCTGGTACACAGGCCTATCACTATGAAATTCACTCTTCTTCGCCGCATTGGGGGTAACTAAATAATCATCATCAGATACCCAATTCCTCCATAGTGTATCTTTAGCCGGTGTGATCGGAGGACCACCCACATTAGCCCTATAAACTGTGTGCAGGGCTTGAGAAAGCAAGCCATCATAGGTACCGCGAGCTCCTGAAGGAGTCACATAAATGGGCGGAGTCGAAACATCTGTGATGTCAGGGACAAGAAAAACCTCAATCGCATTTGCAAAGGCAAAAGACGATTTCTGGGTAGGTGTGAAAGAGATTATAAATTCGGATACATTGATGGTGAGCATGAATTCATTGATTGTAAGGTTTTGAACACTGAAATTCGACAACAGAGAAAACCCAGAAGCCGAAACGTTGAATTGGGCATGTGAGAGATTTTTCTTCGAAGAAGAGAAAGCATAAAAATGGAGGCGTACCATGTAAGTCCCACTCTGGTCGATTTGGAGGTTATATGAAGACGGGTTTGTGAAGATTCTTGCTGTTTGATACAGAGGAGAGGAGTTTGATGTGCTGGTGTCTGAGACGGAGCTGATTTCTCCGACGAGGGAAAAGGAGCCTGAATTCTCGTCGGAGATGAAGTTCCGGATGGGCCCGTCGGTGACTTTGACGTCGAAGTTTGAGCCGCAGTTGATGAAGTACTTGTCTGGTAAAGTGTAGGCTGATGAGAGAAGAGAGAGAGATGAGAATTGAAGAAGATGGAGGAAGAGGAGAGAGAGAAAAGGATTGTGGGAGTGAAGAGTTTCCATGGAAATGTTAGTTGTTGTTGTTAAAATAAATTTGTTTCTGTTTATGAATGGAGTGAGTGAATGAATAAAAGTGAACTGGAAAATCTAATCGTGTAATGTATGGACGACGAAGAAAGTGGAACATTCAAACTGACAAATCGGTTGACCAAGTCAGTCAATGCGTTGGTCCACGAAGAACAACGGTTGTCACGTGACATAATTAAATGGTGAACTTGCAAATTTTTTTTTTTTAATTTTAATGATCGACATGCAAACAAAAATTAATTATTTTGATTTTTTTATTTTTTAAAATGAATTATATGCTAATTTATTTTTAATTTTTTAAACGTTCTAAATTTTAGTGCATTTAATAATTATAATTTTTTCAAAAAAATTCAATAATATTCTGATTTTTTATATTTATTGAATTTTTAACAAAAATTTATAAATATTTACTTTTTAAGTGCATTTAAAAGTTAAAATAATTAATTAAAATATTTTAAAAAATCACTAGAGGCACAAAAAATCAAAAACTGCATTTAAAAACTCAAACCAAATAGCACAATGTTTTTTAAATTATAAATTACGTGTTTTGTTTTTAAATGGATAGATTATAAGATGTTACAATATTTTATAAAATTTATTTGTATATTATTACTTTTGTATTTTTATTTTAGTGGGAACAAATAAAAAGTTATTATGAAAAATCACAAATCAGGAAAAAGTGAAAAAAATATTTCATTTTCAAGGATTACAATGTGTATAGCGCAAGTTATTTTATCTTCGGCTCTGATTCGTAGCTCGAATTCGAAGGCTCGAATTTGGCCCGAATTCGGAGAAGAAGAAGGAAGAAGAAGAAGAAGAAGATAAGAAGCAGAAGAAGAACTGGATTGGAGGGGGCCATCAAAATCGGAAGTGGAAGCGGAGGCGGAGGCGGCGGTGGGCGGAGGCGGCGGTGGGCGGAGACAGAGGCGGAGGCGGGGCTGAGCGACGAGCGACGAGATGCGACGCCGACGAGCTGTGTTCAACGATGCCGACGAGCTGTGTCCGATGAGCCCTATCTCTCGCCTGCGTTCAACGAAGAAGAAGAAGAAAAGGAAGAGAAAGAAAACGAAGAAAAAGAAGGAAAAAAAAAAAAATGGCAAAACGACGTCATTTTGCCATTCGACCCAAAATCGAGCCACGAATTTCGAGCTACCAGTCATTTTCCTTTTATCTTTATGGTACAAATTTTTTTTTTTTTTGCGTCAGATTTACACTTTTTTTTTTATTTTTTATATGTAGTGCAATTGTTTTTAAACTCACTAATTTACAATTGCTCCAAATAATTACTTCCGTGACTTATTTTTTTTAAACTATTTTAATTTTTTTTAAATTATTAAATATTCTCCAAATATCACATAATATTATTTATATCTTACTCATATGTTCCTTTTTAGTTATTTTGATTTCCACTCCTGACCCTGGCCCCTACTACAATTGCCAAGACGATATGATTGTGTAACCCAACAATGCCAATATCTCTGTATGAAACTGACACTTTTGGACGTCTCAAAAAAGTTCTTTAGATATATATGTACGGACCATGTTGGGGTGATTAAATCAGAATGCAGTTATGTAAATGGAAAAATTACTCATAGGTCTCATATTGAAAAATGTTACTCCATCTAATTCTGAGTGTTTTTTATAAATTATTTAGTCTTTTTTTTACATCAGAACATCATCATCAAAACAATATCAAACATCACAACATTAATCATCAACAAAGAACAATTGATGCAAATTAAACACAACTAATTTACATAAATAAACCCTAGAATTGAATTGAATGAGAGAGGAATTGAAGGAGCTTACACGTTGAAAGTACCAGCGACCGTATCATTGGCAGACCTAACAGCAGATTTGAGATCGAGATCAAAAACCCCCAAGGCGGTGCTATGTTCCGAAGCTTTTGACGATGCGTATGAGTTCCAATCGGCCCAAAGAGACGATGATGAAGACGACGACAATGAAGACGTCAATGGATGCGGTGGTTGCCGATCTTCCTCGCCGCTGCCGATTGAAAACCACTTCTGCATTTTCGTTTTGTTGTTGGTTTTGAGCTCTGGTTATGGATTTTCAATAACGAAGATTCAAAGAATTAAAGAGAATTGATAATGTTTGATGAATAATAATGGTTGATGAATAATGTTTGATGTTGAAGAATAATGTTTGATGAATAATGTTTAATGTTGAAGAATAATGTTTTATTTTGATGTTTAATTGTTATTTAAAAAATTGTTTAATTGTTATTTTGATGTCGTTTTGATAATGATAGTGTGATGTTTGATGTTGTTTTGATGATGATGTTTGATGTTGTTTCGACGATGTTACTCATAAATCTGATGTTTGATGTTTGATGGATAATGTTTGATGTTTGATGAATAATCCTAATGTTTAATGGTTCAGAATCTGTGTTTGATGTTTGATGAATAATCCTAATGTTTAGTGGTTTATGCTTGATGAATAATCCTGACGTTGTTAATGTTTGATGTTGGATGAATAATGTTTGATGTTTGAAAAGAAGAGAAATCATAAAAAGGCTTATAGTAAGCTTCTTGGGAAATAGGACCTATTAGTCCAACAAAAAACCTTCGGGACTAAATGGGTTAACATTTCCAAATTTAGGATCTATTGGTTCTTTCCCCTATGTATATTGTGTAATTAAATAAAATAAATAAATAGATTCATATTTAATAAATTATAATACATAACATAAAATCATGAAAAATTATAATTAGATTGAACATAAATATATAACAAAATAAAATGAAGAAAAGATAGTAAATCGAAACCTGTGTGATACCACAATCTGCTTAAAACAGATTTGTCACCTCATCGTGGGTGCTGGCGGTGTATCGTTATCTATCTCCCAAGATACAATGGTATAGACTCGCTAACACAAAAACACCTTTTGTTTAGCTCCAACGAACTGACAACGACAATACTCTCTCACACAGGAAGAAAAATATATAGCAGACTGACTATATAATATGGAGGCAAAAAATTCTGTGTTGCAACCAAGGAAGATGGCCTCTTTTTATACACAATGTGAAACAGAGGAAGAGCCTCTAACTATGAAGACTGGCAACAAATGTAGCCCATTACTTCTGCGAAACTGACGAGGAATAAGTGTGTAAGTTACACACTTTATATACTGATGAGAAATAAGTGTGTGAGTTATATACTTTATATATAGACATGTATGTATATCTGCAGCCATCAAACAAACCTAACCCCAAAAAATTAGGTTGGTGAACCACCAATTCGGCCCAGCCCAAACCTCAGCCCGAGGCTATAGATGTGATGACCCCACTACGTATAATAATTTTCATTTAATTAATCAAAGAGATTTGAATTTAATTGCCCATTACTTTGATTTAATTCGGGATTTATGAAAATTATGGAAGATGATTCGTATATGCTTTTATTGAGGATTTATTTTAAACTTAGAAATTGAAAATCTAAATAGCTCAAGATAGTACAAATGGTGATTTGAATTATTTTAATTTCGAGTATCGGACCATATGAGAGTTTAATTAAATATTCGATTTAGATTTATAAAATTGAGATTTGATTAATTAGGCCCGAATTGAAATTAATTAAGTTATACGAAGTAGGAATTAAGATTATTATAAATTAAATTCATTTATGTGGTGCCTAATTTGAATATGTAATTTATTGACAAAATTTTGAGTCTGATAAAAAATTGAAGGCTTAAATTATTTAAGAAACCAAAATTGAGGGTGAAAATAAGTTTAATTTAAAATTTGGAGTCTTTTGGGAGTTTGATTAAAAATCTGATTCAAAATGATAAATGTAATATAATTAATTAGGCTTTAAAGAAAGTCAAATTAGACAAATTAGTTGTAATTAATTTAATTATGTGTTAATTAAGATTTATTAAGACTAAGTGTTATTTAAATTAAGCTAATCTTATTCATGAATTAAATTAAAAAAGAATCTAGAATTGTGAGTGTGTGTGGGTGTGGAGAGAAACCTGTGTGGGTGTGCTGAGAATTCTGGTTATACAAGTGTATGTATACGTGTGATGTTGAGACAAAGGTGTGTGTGTGCTGGTGAGTTCTAGAATCAATGAGAACAAAAGAAAAACAAAAAGAAAAAGGTGAACTCAATACGTTGAATAGGAATGTAATGGAAGCAAAAAGGACCGAGAGAGATAAAGAGAAGGACCGAGAGAGAGAGTTAGCTGCTGGAAATCCAACTCAAGAGTTCAAGAAGAAGAAGAAATAAGGAAGGAAAAGCTAGGAAAGGTGTGGAATTAAAGGCGAGTTCAAGAATTTATCAAAGATTCATCAAATTCAAGAGTTTAGGTAAGAAATTCAAGCTTAATCCTTATAGATTGATTACTTAACATCCAAAATCAAGAAGTAAATAGGTTTAATTTCATGGAAATAGAAAGACTTAGGAAAAGAATGAAGAAAATTTGAGTTAGGTTTGATAATTAAGAAATTGATGTTGTAATTTAATATTTGAGTTTGATCTTTGTCACCTTTCATAAATTTGAAGGTTATCCTTACATGCATTGTGAATCTTCAAGATTTTAGAATTTAATTTATATTTTAAAGTTTATGAGTTTGGTTGTGATACAAATTAAGAAGTCAAATTATAGTTTGATCTTGATAATGGAGAATTGGTTGGATTTTAATAAGTGTTTTATACATGCATCATGAATTTGAAGAATTTAAGATAATCAATTTCATGTTTTGAAGAAAAGAAGAAAGAAATTTTATAAAAATCAAGTTTATGAAAATTGGAGTTAATCCTAAAGTTAGACAATGTTTTGATTTTATTATGAAAGATAAGGATTGGTTTAATTTTAATTTTAAATCCATGCATGTAATTCAAATTAAAAGTTTTATTCAAATTGAACATATTTTGAAACATATGTAATTAAGTTTTGGGTTAAAAAGTATGAGTTTATGAAGAATGAGATTTAATTTTATATTAAAGGAGTTTTGATGTTAATGGTTTCAAATTGATCAAGTTTTCTTAATTATTTAAGAGTTTGTATTGTTTTAAAGGAGTTTTGATGTCAATGGTTTCAAATTGATCAAATTTTCTTAATTATTTAAGAGTTTATATTATTTTAGACAAGCCATGTTAAACCTAAGTTTTGAAATTACATTTTGGAATTATATTTTGAAAGCTTAATTCATATTTTAGAACTTATGAGATTGAAATTGGGTTTGATATGGATGAAAAGAATTAAATGTAAATTTGAACAAATATGAAAATAAATTATAATTTATATTTGAGAATCAAAACTTAGTTTGATTTTGATTTAAATTCGATACATGCAAATATTGTTGAAAGGGCCTTATAGATTAAATTTTAAGTTTTATTAAACAAATATATGTGATTGGGAATGTGTTTGCATATTCGAGTGAGTCATGCATGAATTTGGAGCCTTGGTAATGTGTATTGAAGTTTAAACAATATTATGAAAAACTCAGAATTTGTCACGGTCACTCGAGCAAAGAAGTTGTCGCTGGAGCGTAGAATGCAAGCAACCAGTATTTTTGCAGACCAAGGGTTCCGCTCAAGCGAAGAGTCCTGTTTCAGAAAATTTTGAAAAGCTATTTCATATTTCGATTTTCGTTCTCTTTCACTTCCAAGCATTCTAGACAGGATTTATGGCTCATTGAAGATTAATAAACTAACAATCAATATAAATTAGTTAATTAAAGAATGAATCATTGATTTAGTAGTTGATTATTGTTTAAGAAGCTAAGTAAGAAATTGGTATATTAAAAAATGACTTAATAATAAAAGAATGTATGAAATAAGAACCCGGTTCATTTGAATAAGAAAGAATAAGCATAGTAAAACTTCAGATTACTTAGAAAAAGACAAGAAAAGTCAAGTTTGATAAATGAATTGATATTGTATTTCAATGTGTATATGTTATGTGCATGTGTAGGTCACGCGCTATTGTCTACCTGATTTATCTAATCTATCCAATCTGTTTGATTTACTTCTGCAGCTATTTGTGAGTAATAACTTAGTAAATCTATATTCAAGTTAAATTATTTTCTATATATGAAATAAGATCTGTTTTATGAAATGTTATGTTTTGTATTATGAATGATTGTCCAATTTTCGATAAGTATTTGTGACACAAGTATGTTATCTGTTCCTGGTCCAGAGGTTCCTTTATGGAACTGACAAGTTATCTGCACCCGACTGGAGGTTCCTTTATGGAACTGATAAGTTATCTGTACCCGGCCGGAGGTTCCTCTATGAAACTGACAAGTATGATATTTGATACTCTATATGTGATCTGTTAGCGCTAACAGATATACTATGTAAGATTAAGCATGAACTCTGATTTCTGCATATGATTTGAATAAAAATATGAATATGATTCTGTTTCTGATTGAAATCTGAATATGCATAAAACTCTGTTTCTGATAAAAATCTGTTTTTGATATAAACTCTGATTTCTGACTCTGTAATGGACATTATTCATTGAAACCCTTTACTTTGTTATTATTCACTGGGCTCCAGCGCACTGTATTATTTATGTATGTAGGTGATCAGGCGCGTGACCAAACCCTTTACTTTGTTATTATTCACTGGGCTCCAACTCACTGTATTATTTATGTATGTAGGTGATCAGGCGCATGATGTTATTATTCACTGGGCTCCAGCTCACTGTATTATTTATGTATGTAGGTGATTAGGCGCGTGACCAAACCCTTTACTTTGTTATTATTCACTAGGCTCCAACTCACTGTATTATTTATGTATGTAGGTGATCAGGCGCATGATCAGGCTTAGAGGCGTCTGCCTGGAATTTGTTTTTGTCAGCCAACCTATGTGCCTCTCGTGGAGGTTCCGGATATGTCAAATGACCTATGTGCTTCTCGTGGAGGTTCCGGATATATCAAATGGTTATGGCTATGTGATTAAAATTTAAGTTTTGTTTTCTTAATTAGTTAAACTGGTTTTTGTTTAATTTGTAAATAAGGCTAAGTCCCTTTTTGTCTAGCCTATATATATATATATATGATGTGTAAATGCATGAATGTAAATCTAAGTCCCTTTTTGTCTAGCCTATATATATATATATATATATGATGTGTAAATGCATGAATGTAAAGTTTAAAATTTTTCTGTCTCATATAAGTTTGCACAACTTAATGGACGCTGTATATTTGCTATCTGCTTCCGCGTAATCCTACGATTACTGGCCGGTTACGATGGTCGTGACAATGGATCATGGACCCGGACCAGACGGGTGCCACGCGTGTGACGATTTTTGTATAACCAACTTGGATCATAGTTCTAGCTTAAGCCCATCCTTAAAAGATCCATAACTTTCTTCCTTCGATAAATTTGGATGTCCCAAAGGGCTCATGCCCTTATTAAAATCTTGAAGTTTAAATATCTATCAATGTTTCTTTCTACAATCAATGTGGGATTGGTAGTTATACACAATTCCTAATACCTCAGAGCATCTCCAATGCACTAGGCATATCATACTTGTTAGTTAAAATGCCTAGTGTGATTCACTTTTTTCAATTCCAACGCACTAGGCATATGATTAGGCATTTTGGCTCAACTCATATTCACTAGCTACATGTAGCTAGCCTTCAACGCTAGGCAAAATGTATTCAATCATTAGGATCATTTCCCTCCATCTTTGTTGTTGACGTGGCATTCTATAAAATTAATAGTATTTGGATTAATAGCTAAAATAAAGAGCATGGTTGGAGTAAAAACATAAAATAGTTAATAGGCAAAATAAAATATATATTTTATAGTAATATTTAGATAGGTAAAATGCCTACTACCGTTGGAGATGCTCTCATTCATGAGGCTTACTTTATGAGATAATTTTTTATTCAATTCATAATAATTTTTTGTCATTCTTTTTGTGATGTAAAGATCTTATTACAAAGAATCGAAACCTATTTAACCCTACCTCAACCAATAGTTAGGACCTACTTAAATTTCACATTAAAGTCACTATAAAACTATTTTTCCAACAAATGCTGCGTGACAAATAGATCTTGAATATCTAGGAGCATCTATAACTGTCCAAAACAATCGAAGTGTCCTCTTGTTCTTGGAAGAGAATGTTAAATATACAAATTGTCCAGTAAAGGACAATAATTCTATTCTACACTATACCATTAAGTAGCTTCAAGTCCTATTGTCTCATATCGTCATGATTATACCATTAAGTAGCTTCCAGTCCTATTGTCTCATATCGTCATGATTTCTAAATGCTAGCACTTGTAACTGTCATTTGCATAATTGACGCAACTCTGCACACTGCCATTAGGAATAGAGATATAATATAATGCAGTAAAAGAAAAAGAACTCCCTTAAATGATAATCAAATATATAGCATTATTCTAATCAAATAAATCTCTTCATTAAAACATTAAGACCGTCCAACATCAAATCTAGAATTCAAACATTAATTATACTGAAAGTCGAACAATACTTCAATTTGCTATGCTGATTTTTACACAATTATCATTTGAAACGTTCACCTAATTTACAAACCTTAAATTTATAAAGCAAAGCAACCCAACAAAGGAAATATGCCCGATTTTCTTCAGCATTATTCCTGTAAGCATACTAGAACCAAACATAGGAAGACCAAAAATTGTACCTCAAACTGCAAGATCATCTGCCATCATCAATGTTCAACATGGAGAACACTCCGTGCGCATATAAACGACTAGTATCTGTAAAATCATCCATGGGAATGTCATATTCATCAATTGGGATGCTATGAGAAGGTAACTGCTGAATGGCAGGCACCGGCAGCACCCACGACGCGTCTGTTGTGCTGTCCTCATGAGGTTCTCTGTGCCTCGCAGTTTGTTGAAGCTGCAGTGCATATTCCAAGTCCCACATAACATCATTCATGTTGGGCCCTTGAACACCATATTCTTTCAAACACTTCTCCACCGTTTCACCGAACTTTCTCAACAAATTGGGATTGATCTTGCCCACAAGCAAAGGATCAACAATATTTTCAAGCTGCCCTTTCTTTTGCCGAAACAACCCCCATTCAGCCAAGTTTACTTCCTTCCCAGGAAGCGACTTATTGATGGCTGGTCTTGCACAAAGCACTTCTAGGAGAACTACCCCAAATGAGTTAACATCGGATTTCTGCGTTAACTGCAGGCATCTAAAATATTCAGGATCAAGGTAACCAAAACTACCTTTTACACCTGTGCTGACATGGGTATGATCAAGATCACCTAATCTTGAGAGACCAAAATCAGCAACTTTAGCCACATAATCCTCATCAAGTAAGATGTTCGTTGACTTGACATTACGGTGAATGATGCCTCTTCCTGAACTATTATGAAGATAATCTAGACCCTTTGCAGCACCAATGCAAATTTCAAGCCTTTGGTTCCAAGACAATTCAGATTGTGACGATGATTTCTGAGACTCTCCATTCAAAATGTGTAGATGATCCCTCAGAGTCCCCTTCTCCATGAACTCGTAAACAAGTATCATCTCAGACCTTTCATCACAATACCCAATCAAGGAAACAAGATGGCAATGGCGAATTGAGGACAAGACTATGATCTCTGTATGGAATTCTGGACAGCCCTGGCCATTTCCTGGCTCACTTCGTTTGACAGCCACCTTCATGCCATTCCGAAGAGTTGCTTTATAGACTTTTCCAAACCCACCCTCACCAATCATCAACTTAGTGTCAAAATTATTAGTTGCAAACAGAATTTCTTGAAAAGATAGCTTCAACCCAAGGTTTAGATTATCAAGAGGGAAGCCATTGACCGTTCTTTCAGTAGTACTAACATAAGAACTCCCTCCTCCATAATCAGGGATTGCCTGCCAAACTGAAGTTTCAACAGGCTTTGCTCTCTTGCAATTCAAACACACCACCACCACTACTACCCACATTAACAGAGACGCCACACTTCCAACAACCGAACCAACTACAACAAACAGATGTTTCTTCGGTGGCTTCTTCACCTCAGTTACCAAACCCAATCCCGTTATTACCTCCATGATCTCTACTCCATTCAGAAAGGCTGTTTTAATTATTGAATCATTCCGAGGGCCAATACCGATATCCATAAAGCCAGAATTATCAGAATCAACCACGAAATCTTGGTAAAATGGAACTGCCAACTGGCCAACAACATTATATGGATAAATGTTCTGACTAAACTTGCTATACAGATACAGATTGAACTGAAGAACATCATTTATGGATGTGCTAACTATGTCGCAAAAATGTACTCGAACGAAGTGTGGAGCATTCTTACTCACATTGAACCGCCACGTTATATTGAAGAAATTCGAACCCCCACTAGAGTTTAGATTCAACTCTTTTGCTGTTTGGTAGACAAGATCAGGGGCAGAGTACTCAGTAGCTCCTCCAGTCTGGTACACAGGCCTATCACTATGAAATTCACTCTTCTTCGCCGCATTGGGGGTAACTAAATAATCATCATCAGATACCCAATTCCTCCATAGTGTTTCTTTAGCCGGTGTGATCGGAGGACCACCCACATTAGCCCTATAAACTGTGTGCAGGGCTTGAGAAAGCAAGCCATCGTAGGTACCGCGAGCTCCTGAAGGAGTCACATAAATGGGCGGTGTCGAAACATCTGTGATGTTAGATGTTAGGGGCAAGAAAAACCTCAATCGCATTTGCAAAGGCAAAAGACGATTTCTGGGTAGGTGTGAAAGAGATTATAAATTCGGATACATTGATGGTGAGCATGAATTCATTGATTATAGGGTTTTGAACACTGAAATTCGACAACAGAGAAACCCAGAAGCCGAAACGTTGAATTGGGCATTTGAGAGATTTTTCTTCGAAGAAGAAAAAGCATAAAAATGGAGGCGTACCAAGTAAGTCCCACTCTGGTCGATTTGGAGCACATAAGAAGACGGGTTTGTGAAGATTCTTGCGGTTTGATACAGAGGAGAGGAGTTTGATGTGTTGGTGTTGGCTACATATTTTGTAAAAGCCAGTTACAGTTCGACACGTGGCATAGTAAGGGTAATAAAGGAAGGTTATTCAAGCCTTTAATCCTGATCGTACACGTGACAATAAACATTGGTCCTCACATGATCCGAGTAACACTAGATCAAAATACCCTTCGAAAAGCCAAAAAGCCAACAGTTGGTGTCTGAGACGGAGCTGGTTTTTCCGACGAGGGAAAAAGAGCCGGAATTCTCGTCGGAGATGAAGTTCCGGGTGGGCACGCCGGTGACTGAGACGTCGGAGTTTGAGCCGCAGTTGATGAAGTACTTGTTTGGTGAAGTTTAGGTTGATGAGAGAAGAGAGAGAGATGAAATTGAAGAAGATGGAGGAAGAGGAGAGAGAGAAGATGATTGTGGGAGTGAAGAGTTTCCATGGAATTGTAGTTGTTGCTGTTAAGGTAAGTTTGTTTCTGTTTATGAATGGAGTGAGTGAATGAATAAAGATGAACTAGAAAACCTAATCGTGTAATGTATGGACGACGAAGAAAGTGGAACATTAAACTGACAAATACGTTGGCGAAGTCAGTCAATACGTGTTGGGATGTTGGTTTTGGTGCGTCAGGCCTTAAAATAATCACAAAAAATAAAATAAATTATTTTAATCATAAAAAATAAAATATTAAATTTAATTTATAATTATTATATTTTTTTTTTTACAAAAAAAAAATTAAAAAGTCAAAAAATTCTTTCCAAACTAAATTTTTTAACCTCAAATTAAAATAATTAAAAAATTAAAAAGTTAAAAGCCAACTCACTTCCCAAACGGAGGCAAAGAACAACGGTTGTCAAGTGACATAATTTACGCTGAACTTGCAATTTTTTTTTTTTTTTTTAATGATCAACCTGCAAACAAAAATTAATTATTTTGAGTTTTTTTATTTTTTAAAAAGAATTATATGTTAATTTATTTTTTTATTTTTTATTTTTATTTTTTAAACGTATTAAATTTTAGATGCATTTAATAATTATAATATTTTTTTTAAAAAAATTCGATAAGATACTGATTTTTTATATTTATTGATTTTTTTAACAAAAATTAATAAATGTTTACTTTTAAAGTGTATTTAAAAGTTAAAATAATTAATTAAAATATTTAAAAAATCACTAAGACAAAGAAAATAAAAAACT